AGGCAGGTCTTGTTGGGCCTTGTAGGGCATTTCAGTGATTGGAGTTTTTAATTGGAGTATAAGAGAAACCATTGGAGGGTTTTAAGCAGAGGAATGTGAATGATCTAATTTAGCTTTTTTTTTTTAAAGATTGGCACCTGAGCTAACAACTGTTGCCAATCTTTTTTTTTCTCCCCAAATCCCCCCAGTACATAGTTGTATATTCTAGTTGTGGATCCTTCTAGTTGTGGCATGGGGGACACCACCTCAACATGGCCTAATGAGCGGTGCCATGTCTGCATCCAGGATCCGAACTGGTGAAACCCCGGGCTGCTGAAGCAGAGTGCATGAACTTACCACTCACCCACGGGGCCAGCCCCTAATTTAGCTTTTATTTTTTTGAGGAAGATTAGCCCTGAGCAAACTACTGCCAATCCTCCTCTTTTTTTTTTTTTTTTTTTTTTTTGCTGAGGAAGACGGGCCCTGAGCTAACATCCATGCCCATCTTCCTCTACTTTATATGTGGGACACCTACCACAGCATGGCTTTTACCAAGTGGTGACATGTCCGCACCTGGGATCCGAACCAGCGAACCCCAGGCTGCCGAGAAGCAGAACATGCAAACTTAACCACTGCACCACCAGGCTGGTCCCTAATTTAGCTTTTAACAAGATCATTTTGACTGCTGTGTTGAAGACAATCTGAAGGGAGCAAATGATGGAAGCAGAGAGACCACTTCTTGTAGGCTATTATAAAAGTTAAGGAGAGATGGAAGTGGCTTGGACCAGATGGCAGCAGTGGATGAATTTTAGTGTAATATGAAGGTAGAGCAGACTGGATTTGCTGACAGATTTGGGGTGTGAGAGAAAGAAGAGACAGGATTACTTCAAAGTTTCAGTTTGAGCAACTGAATGATGAGTTGTCCTTAAATGGGAAGACTCCAGTAGGAATGAATTTAAAGGGATAAGATCAGGACATGTTAAACTTGAGCTGCCCTTCAAGAGAGATGTCACAGAGATAGTTCAATCTGCAGGTGTGGCATTTAGGATGGAGGTCTGAGCTGGAGACGTTGAGAGATGTCGGCATATGGCGATATGTAAAACTAGAAGACTGGATGAGGCCACCGAGAGTGCAGATAGGAAGGAAGAGTTCCAAGGGCTGAGCCATGGGACACTCCGATGTTAGGATGTCAGGAAGAGGGCCCAGCAAAGGAGACTGAGGACTGGACAGTGAGGCAGGAGGCAAAGAAAGAGGGCATGAGGTTCTGGAAGCCAAGTGAAGAAAGTGTTTTCAGCAAGGAGGTGGAGAGGTGCTGATCAATTTGTGCAGTGTTGCGTATGGGTCTAGATAAGGTATTAAAAGAACTAAGCACTGTATATAACGTTACAAGGTCTTCGGAGAACTTGAGTAAAGGATCTAGGGAAGTGGTAGGAGCAAGTGTGTGATTAGAGTGGATTCGAGAAGGACTGGAGACAGCAAATATGGACTTTGTTTTTTTTAAAGATAGGGGAAACGAAAGCATATTTTATGCTGATGGAAAGATCTTTGCTTTTCCATTGAGGAACCTAGCCTCCTCACCCATCCTCCCTTCTCTGGACTTCAGGTTTGGATATTTGCTGTTTCTGAGAACCCTCACTTTGAGGAGTGTTAATGGGGAATCCGAACTGATATGGAGCTGAGGATTGGGAAAATCAACTTATTTCATACGTGGACTCCTCCTCTTCCACCAAACTGTTGCTTCCCACTGCTTTGGGGGACATAGCACATTTTAGATGTGGCCGAGAGTCTTTAGGCTCAGTGGAATTGCATATGTCTCATTCAACTATTATTTAGATGGTTCTTTGCACTTGTAATTTGGTGCTCTATCCCCATCCCATAGATGGCCCCTTTTCTCTTATTTTTGTATGGTGATGGGTTCTTTACCAGTTCTTTGGAATTCCCATTTCAAAGGAATGACAATGACTAATGAAGTCTTAAAAACTTACTGTGAATCCTGTGGTAGTCACTAGGCGGTTCACAAATGTTTCTCCCATTCTGGGCACATGATAGGAGTGCCACACTCAGATAGGGCCTTGTGATTTGCTCTGGCCAATGAAATGTAAGCTAAGTGATATTTGTCACTTCCTAGCAGGAGTTTTAGGAACCAGTGAGCAGTCTGCCACATTTTTTTGGCTGTCAGCAATTGTGGAAGCATGTGTAGGGGAGCAGAACTTGCCATACCAAAATGTGTCTCTTTGGCTAAAGGATTATTTGGGGCTGGTTATTTTTTTAATTTATTATTTATTTATTTATTTATTGACGAAGATTAGCCCTGAGCTAACTACTGCCAACCTGCCTCTTTTTGCTGAGGAAGACTGGCCCTGAGCTCACATCCATGTCCATCTTCCTCTACTTTATATGTGGGACTACCACATATATGTTGCCTACCACAACATGGCTTTTGCTGAGCAGTGCCATGTCTGCACCCGGGATCTGAACTGGCGAACCCTGGGCCACCGAGAAGCAGAATGTGTGAACTTAACCACTGCACCACCAGGCCGGCCCTGGGCTGGTTATTTTTAAGAACAAAAGACTCGGGAAGAAATTTTGACCTTCCCCCTAACTGCCTAAAAGAATTTAAGATAGAAGCCCTGTTCAGGAAGGAGCTATCACTGTAGATAACTACAGTATAATATGAACTAGGTGTGGTAGACAGGGAGGAACCTAGCCCATTTGATCAAAGTCCTCCCCATGTCCCATTGTCCCTGCATAACGTGGCAAACATTTGTTTACCAAACATTTGCTCTTCCATCTCCACGTGAATTGCCTTCCTCCTTTTTGCAGTCCCAAACCACTACCCCTAGTATCCTCTCTTGTCTTTACCTGAAGATGGTATTTAAGGTGGTGATTTCAGCCATTTTGATGCGTTACTCAGTTTTCTTGGGTTTCTCCCATGTGTGCATGTTAATGAACTTTGTTTGATTTTTCTCCTGTTATTCTGTCTCATGTCAATTTCTTAGACGAGCCAGAACAACCTAGAAGGGTAGAGGAAAATGTCTTCCTTCCCTACAACGTGTTGAGGTGAAGCCTCTCTCAGCCAGAGTCTGACTCATAGCAATGAGCAGAGCCCCCTTCCTCAACCTGGATAGACGTCTAATATGAGAAATGAACTTTTGTTTTATTAGTTTTACTTTGGGATAGGAAAACCCAACCTCTCCTGACTGACACAATGCCTAAGGACAAAAACAAAATAAACAGTGGTGGTCCAGTCTCCATTGTAACCAGTAGATTATAAATTTCAAGATACGAAAGTTTGACTTTCATGACAAACAGAAATAGCAAGCAATAGGATATATTGGAGTATATGAGGAAGCCATTTAGTGTGAACCTAATTGGGCCTTTGTTTTTCCAAAAGGGCCTGACATGGCCATTGAGCATGCATTGTATATCTGCTTTAAACATTTACTATAGCAAGAACAAATGCCCTTAAGATAAAGGTGCAACTTCCCCCCACATTGGCATTTCCTTAAGGATAAGCATCTTTCCTTAGGCTAGGAACGGATTGCTGTGCTCACTTTTGATCACCCAGCTCACCTTTGACCACCCAGCTCGAGACAAGACAACAGACTTGCCACCCTGCTGTGTCCACCAAGAGCAGACCTACCTGCTGTATCCATCAATCGCTGTGCCGACAGAGCAGTCTTGTGACTATTGTAAAAGGGACATTTCAATCCTATGTGAAACACCCTCTTTGGGGGTATATAACCACTCTGTACACCCCACTTCTTTGCTGCCCTTTCTTCCTTCCGGAAGAAAGGCCCCAGGCCGTGGTCCTCACATTTTGGTTCAGAATAATCTCACCCAAATTTTCATTTATAGATTGGTTATGGGTTATTTTCATTGACATTCCCATAGCAGGGGCAAAGAAAACCCAATAAATAACACAGGTAATAAAACACTGTCAGTTCACTTAATCAAAACTATTGATCCTTTAAAATGTTAACATTGCTTCTAAAATATGTCTCTCTTAACCAGGAGGGCAACTTTGTTTTCAAGAGATTTAGCTGGACTACCAAAAGATGTCGTTTAGTGTATTTCAGATTTTGTTCTCTGAGCCATCGGCATTGAATCCTCCCAGGATGCACATTCCAAATGCAGATTCCCAGGTCTTGGCCTCCTAGAAAACTCCCAGCAGGTTCTGTAATCTTGATCTTTATATGTGTAGTATAATACAAAAATATATTTGGTCTTTGTGCTGGGTTCCAGCCACAGAGCTGCTAAAACTCTTGGAATTTCCTGAGTGATAGGAGTGTCTTGTTATTCATAATGAGCCCCTGAGTTTATGCTAATGAGATCACTTAGGGTGGGCCCCCTAGACAGCCTCAGGATGGAGCTGGTCACAAAAAAGATGAAGTGATGAGACCTCCTGACCCACTGACCTCCAGGAATGGGGTCAAGAGGGTGCTGGAGATGGAGCTCTATAACCTCTTGAACAGTGAGATTCAGAGAGCTTCTGGCTTGGTGGACACATTGAACCCTGGGAAGATGGCATGCCTCTGCATCCCTCCCCTTCCTTGCCCTAAGCACCTCTTCCATTTGGCTGATCTCGAATTATATCGTTTATGATAAGCAGGTGAATGGAGGTAAAGTGTTTTCTTGAGTTCTGTGAGCCATTCTACCAAATTATCAAACCTAAAAGGGAAGGGAGTAATGGGAACCCCCAGTTTTATAGCTAAGTTGGTCACAGGTGTGGGTGACCTGGCATGGCATCTGAAATGAGTGAGGGCAGTCTTGTGGGACTGAGCCCTTAAACCTGCGGGGTCTGATGATAACTCTGGGTAGTTAGTGTCAGAACTGAACTACAGGCACCCAGTTGGTGTCCAGAGAATCAGAAAATTGGTTGTTCATGTTGGAAAACACCCTGGAAATATGCTGCCAGTGTGACACTGAGGTGTTCCTTTACAACCTAATGTCTGATTGAGTTTTATACATTCTTCAGTATTAGGGAAGAAATGTTAGGGTAAAAAACAAAGGAACCAGAATTCTCCATAAAAGAATTTTATTTAGTGGTCAGATCCCAATGAATAATGCCAGTCATTGCTTGATTCTGCTAAAATGTGCTGTTAGATATTCTCTTAAGAAAGTGTACAGCGCATCACCAAAAGCTGTTTAATTTGGATTGTGTAGAGTAAAAGGAAGCTTCATAAATCTTTGTTCTCTGATAAAATTTTTAAAATGTAAAAATGAAAAAAAACACAAAAGCAGTATTCAAAAATAATAAATGTCACCTTGGACTATTTACAGTAAGATGCCTTTTTAATAGGAGAATGTCTTCTGCTTGATTCTTTTCCTCGCATTTTACTCACGTTTATAGGCATTCTCACTCGCCATCTGACCCCTAGTCATGATTTCTTCCACTCCTGTCCACGAAACAGCCGTCTTCTATTCTCCCTGACTCATCTTTGAGTCTCCGACACTCCTTTTTCCTACCCTAAATGACCGGTAATTTTATTCCATTGACAGCTGTTGAGCACCTAATGTTGTGCCAGGCACTGCGCTAGGGGGTGGGGATCAGTATAGAGATGAAAAGTCATTGACTCCCTCCTCAAGAAACTCAGCGTTTGAATTAAAAAAGTGTTTTTCACATTATATTCCATGAAATCCCAGGCCCCTAGGAAGTAAATCTGGGGGTTTCTTGAAACAAAGTGCACTCATGGAGAGTCCGTCAACTTGGCCCACTCTAGCACATTTCGAATTCAGAAGTCTGCTCTTCTTTGTGAAGCACAGCCTCAAAAGCCCAGGCCTACAGTTTGAGTTCTGAACTCTCAGCAGGTGGGAACCACGTGTTGGGCAGCAGGGGACCAGCTGCGCCACTTTTTTTGGGAGGGAGGGTAATATTTTAATTGGCTTCTACAAATTCCAAGTAGGAAAAGCCCTTAACCCGCCCCACCCCCCAAATACCAAATTTGAGCTATAGATACATATTAAGAAACTCTCCTCTGATTTGGACTTCCAACAAGATGCTCTAAAAATCCTATCTTTTATAAATGTCCAGCAGGAGCTCTTTTTATTACCTCCACACATATTTCTTTGTGCTTTTCTGTGAACATTTTCTTAGCTTCAAACATAAAAGCAGCAAATTAAGCCTGCAAGTGACCTTTTCTTTCCTTTTATCATGGTCGAACTCAAAACAAGCTCAGCTCTTGCATTTGGCCCACATCTTCTTTGTCCAGGAGGCCTTTTTGAGAGGCTCATAGTAGCTACTTAAAGAAAAAAAAGAAGGCAAACTCTGAAATATAAAACAAAAACTGTACATAGCATACTATGGAAGCAAAAACGAAACCGCATCCTTGCTGCCGCCATCTTGTTCCATTCCCGGCAGACAATGTCCCTACAAATATTCACATTTGGAAATATTTCTCAGTCACAGTAAAATCCAAATCACGGTGGTGGGCTTCACGCTCACAGTTTGTAGCGTAATCTTTTCATTGAATGCGTGCAGCCAACCACTGAACAATGATGAAGGGAGTTTTTGTGGGAAAGTCCTATCCTCGATCCCATGCCTTTCCACAGGTTACACAGGATCACTTCTCTACACAGTTTCCATTCAAGAGTTGTAGTGCCAGATTCAGAACTTCCTCATGAGCTGGTTCCAAGCCCTTTGGATCTGAAGGCAACTTCGGGAGTTGGCATTATTCCCATGTTGCATTTAGCCTGCCCCACTCCATGGTAGGGCGATCACGATGTCTGAAATGTGTGGAGAGAATGAGAAGAGCAGGGGGGACTTGGAGAGAGAGGGGAAGAGAGGTGTTCATGCACAAGCTTCTTGCTCTGTCGTGCATATATTTTCCGTGTAACAGCATGTATTTTGACACATAAGGGCTTGTGCTTTTTCATTAAAGAAATAACTCACCCTGAAAAGCTCGTTTGGCAAATGTGGCCATGAACGTGTGTGTCTGTGTGTGTGTGTAAAATGTGTCATGAGGTTATGTGTCAAGTCCTATGAGTGTGTCCTCCTGGTCCCTCCCACACTGTCACACCTGCCTCACCAGCAAGGAAAAACTGACGAGTTACACCTGGTCGGTTTGATATTCAGAAGCTTCAGACAGGCTTTCTGAGAAGCTTAGGAAATTCTCTTGGTACTCAGAACAGACAATCTCGTAACGGTAATGCCGGAATTCCACAGCAAAGGTGCCAAAGTAAGACAGGAAGCACATGACCAGGCCCCACTGGACCCTGGCTGCATACATGTGGATGCCTTGGGACATGAGGATGAAGTCTGGGAGGAAGCAGTCAAGGAAAGTACTCCCATCAGCCACATCAGAACTGGGCTCTTTTCAGGGCAGAGACAGCTTACAGGAAAAGTCTGGCTGTCCCCCTTTAGCTTGACGGAGCTGCTGAACACAAACATCGACCTGAATAATGTGAGATAACATTACTGAGCTCTTTGTGCCAAGCATGCTTTTAGGTGCTTTCACGGAATATCTAACTTATTCCTCAGAACATCCTATTATCATCATCAGTTCATTTAAAAATAGGGAAACTGAGGCCAAACGGGTAACACAGGTATAAACTGGTGGAGCTGAGATTCAAACACAAGCCCTCTGACTCCCAGGCTACGCATTCAACCACCACACTCCATGGCTTCTTAATAAACTGTGAGATTAGCTAAAGGATTACAATTCCGAAGTAATTAGTTGGCCAGAAAAATAATCTTTTAAAAAATCACTGCAAAGGACCATGCATTCAGTCATCATTATATCTGCAGAAATAATTTTGAACAGACGAAATCACTAACTACCTCCGTCTAAGCTGCATCTGTCTCCACGCTACTGATAATGTCTAAGAGGCCCCTCTTCCTCTTCTGTCCAATTTTTACTATTGTCTTTCAGACAACACTGTATAGGCTAGTTTCATTCCTGGTGTAACACTTAAACTTGTGCCCCAATGAAAATATGCAATTAAAGAAACAATAAACAGATGAGACTCCTATGCCTGAATGTATATGGGGTACACACACCCCCCCATACATACATACACATACGCACATTAGTATATATGCAGATGGGGAAGGAGAGGGCTCATAGCATGCTTCAGTGAAAGGCCAAGAGAACTAAATACATTTATTTAGAAAAATCAGAAATGCTTCCTTAAAATTAATTCTAAACTTAAGCCTAAAATCTTGGGAAACTTTCAGAGAGCAAAAGAGTATGTGAAACTACTTCAGCCAAATTCTGCTCCCCTGACTAGGGTTGGATCCATTCACCTGGGAACCAAGAGATGGTTCCAAGTTTTCAGAAACCACATGGATCAGAACTGTTTGGTATAAGCTCATAACTCAGAATAATTTAGAGTCTACAATACTCTTCTGACGGAGGGTTCAAAATATTGCCAAAGCAATATTAACTTATCACTTAATGGAGAAGGGATAAATGTCCAAATCTCATACTGGCAGAGTTCTGATCTTTTTACTCATCAAATATTCTATCAGGTTGCTAGCAATAGCAAGTTTTTCAGCTTAAATTTCAAGTCCTTAAATGTTTTCTATCTAATGTGACTGTAGAACTTCAGAAAACCAGTAAAATGATTGAATGGCAGTTTGCAAGGGAAGAAGAAATAAAAGACTTCAAATACTCCGCTTACCAGAGAATGTCTCTGAAAGCTAACTGTTTTCATATTTTAAAGCCACCTTCTCAAAGGAGGGATGGCACAGTGGTTAAGCGTGCAAAACCTGAGCCTGAGTTTAAACTAAGATCACCACCTACTGCGTGTGATCTTCGGTAAATTAACCTCTGCGTTTCCCTATTCTTAGTCGTTAAGTAAGAATTAAAGGAGTTGATACATTTAAAGTGCTTAGAATAACCCCTAGCACATTATAAGTGCCCAATAAATATTGGCTATTACATGGTTGAAGATGTGTAATTGTGTTAGCTACACAGTCATGCATGGCTTAAGGACGGGATACACTCTGAGACATGCATTATTAGGCGATTTCGTCTTTATGCAAACATCAGAGAGTGTACTGAAGTGGACAAAATCTGCCACCCCAAAATGTGTTTCTTTAAGATGAGGATTATTTTAGGCTGATTATTTTTAAGAAACAAAGGACTCAGAAAGTTTTTCTTGTTACCTCTCCCTGAACTGCCTAAAAGAATTCAGATTAAAAAAACCTGTCTTGGGAAGCCAGCTATCACTTTAGCATGACATGAACTAGGTGGCAGACAAGGAGGAACCCAGAAAAGCCTGTTTGTTGGGCTCCCTTCTGTGTGCTTCTGTGTGGCCAAACTAACACTTGTTTTCCAAATGTTTGCTCCTTTTCACCTATCTGTGAATCGCCTTCCTTCCCTTTGAAATCCCTGACTCTGCCCACCCAGATCTTCTTTTGTCTTTAGCTGAAGATGGTATTTAAGGTGAGGGCTTTGGCCATTTTGGTGAGTTACTTGGTTTTCCTGGTTTCTGCCATGTATACATGTTATTAAACTTACGTTTGTTTTTCTCCTGTTAATCTGTCTCATGTCTATTTAATTCTTAGATCAGCCAGAAGAACCTAGAGGGTAGAGGAAAATTTCTTCCTCCCCTACAGTGCTTATACAAACCTCGATGGTAGAGCCTACTACACACCTAGACTATATGGTACTAATCTGATGGGACCATTGTCATATATGCAGTCCATCATTGACCAAAATGTCGTTATGCAGCGCATGACTATACAGCCTACCATCTAGGAACCTTTCCCTTCCTCTCTGGTGTCCTGAGGACCTACTGGAGTGAACACTTAGGATCACCACAGAATGAGTGACTGATCTGATTGATGGGACTGGAACTGGCCAGCTTCCATTGGGCCACACTACCAGTAAGTGGGGGTCCCTGTGCTCCGTCCTAGACTAGTCTCTTTCCCTGGGATCTGTTTGGGGTTAAGCTGAGTGAAGCGCTCGCTTTCCTCTGCCTCTCCCTGGTTTCTCTGGTAGCTACTGGGTGGATAAGTTGAATTCCAGGGTGTGAGATAGGAGACCTATGGCATTCTCCTTTCCAAGTTTCCCAGGAATAAAGGCTGACTTCCTCATCCCCATCTGGCTCCTTCTGTCTGTTCTCCATTGGTTCAAACTCTGAGGGGAGGAAGGAAAATGAACAGCACCTCAAAAATATTTGTTTAGGACAACTATACATGCAGTGGTAATCTAGTTCTTGACTTTGTTTTCCAGGAAAGCTTACTTATTTTCCTGAAAGATACAAATGTATTTGTTCCTCGAAATTCATTTTAGAGTTAATAAAGTAAATGAAATAACAAGGCCATTAATAAAGTAAAATTTTTTTTGAGATGGAGGGGGAAAAAATCACAATTCTCTTTTGGTTATGCACTCTATGCTTTTCACAAAGGGAAGCTTTTATATCATTAATGGTAAGGAGGATCTATGACACCATTCCTATGGATTAAAACAATCTCGAGAAGGCAGAGTTGTTTTCTTTTTAGTTCTCCATCTCCTCTTTGGCACAAAAAATAGGTCTGAGAGTTTTAGTTTTTATACCCATTTACTTTTCTGTTTTGTCTAAGATTCTGAGATGATCTGATAGTATATCCTAACCAAGTGGGAGTGGCAATTTTCCACATAGACAAGTTATCTATTTTTGTTGTTGTTGTTTTTGAGGAAGATTAGGCCTGAGCTAACATCTACCGCCAATCCTCCTCTTTTTGCTGAGGAAGACTGGGCCTGAGCTAACATCTGTGCCCATCTTCTGCTACTTTATATGTGGGACGCCTGCCACAGCATGGCTTGCCAAGTGGTGCCATGTCTACACCCGGGATCCGAACAGGCAAACCCTGGGCCGCCAAAGCGGAAAGTGCTCACTTAACCACTGCGCCACCGGGTCGGCCCCTCTATGTTTTACTCTCACTGGCAAAGAACCTTTTCACATTTAAAGGATACAGAGGACCACACAGAGAGTGATACATGCTGAGAGAATAACTCGTGGAATTCCAACTTTCCGTCCTTCGTTCTTGATGTTGACTTTGAGTGTCAGTGCAGCCTGGATCCAGCAGGTCAATGTGCCAAATCCAAAGGTCAAGGAAGTTCCAACATTATGGATTTCCTCATCATTCGTGAGCTATGGGATGAACAGATAATGACGTGTGGAGGTCCATTTGGAAAAGACATACAAGCCAATGGAATACATGAGGGAGAGAAGAATAGGTAAGTTGATATCCCCATAATGGGATGATAGACTTTAGAAAGATGAAAGTGCTTCATCTCCACTGGCTCTTTATGCCTGTTCTCAATTGACTTGAACTCTGAGGAGAAGAGATATTAATATTACCGCCAAAACTCAAAAGATTTCTTTAGAACAGCCATACTGGCAGTGATAATCTATTCCTCGAATTTATTTTCCAGAAAAGCTTTGTGGAAAAGTAAAAGAAAAGGCAGGAGAGTTACACAGAAAAGGGAAATGTCAAAATTTCTACAAACGTGCACCCAAAACTTTGTTTTCCATACTAAGAAGTGAGACCCAGGATCTGGCTTTGTATTGACTGACTGAAGAGGACCAGTTCTAGGTAGGTCAAGATTTCATTGGCACAGACAACTAATAATACTTGGGCTGTTCTTCACTCCTACAAAACTGGCTTATGTAATGTGACCAATTCATTGTTAATGGGACTTTGTTCTGTTTTGTTTTCCTTTTATAAGAAAACTGCTACCTATGAGCTTTTTCCATATCTGGAGACCCATTAAAGGACAATAGGGTTTGAAGAGTCCTTGTCAAGCCTTTTAATAGGTTAAAGGAGACCCATTCAAGTTATTTTAGTTGGGGGTTAGAAATGTAAACTCCTCAATCATTACCCAGTTGTATTTAAAAATATATGTCACTTAAAAAACCTTTATTAATTACGTATATTTTAAACTGCACATATAGGAAAATAAAATCTATTGTTGAAAAGATGGCTTTTAAAACATGGTGAAAATATTTTTTTTGAATTGCTCTTGCCTTCAGATGTTTTATTGTTTGACATTCATCTGTGAAAAATGGTTGTATCAAATCAATATTACTTTCCCCTTACAGTTTTTTCTATTGTTTTTGGCTGTAGGATTTGTCTTGTTTTTTGGAAGAAGCCACTTTTTTCCCTCATAGTTCAAAAAATGTATTTTTGATACTTATTTTAAATAATAATTCCTCAAATCAAATTTTACTTCTAGGAAATTGGTTTTCCATACTGCATATAGTCTATTCACTTATTATTTTTAACTTAATTTTAAAAATAGATAATATAGTTACATGGCTCAAACTTTTACAAATTTTAAGAGTATGATCGAAAAGTCTGTCTCCAATCTCATATACTAGCCACCTGGTTTCCCCACAAGCAATTAACTTCTTATTTGTTTCCTGTGTATTCTCTGTAGATACTCCAGAAAGTGTTCTTCATATGTAGCATCATCATTCATGGTTTTGAATATTTGTGCTTCACCAACACAACCCAATCTCTAGGATTCTTCTAGGACTTTAGTAAAGAACAAAACATCTACTCAGGAACTTCCATTCCAGGCCTGGCTGAGAGAAATGATAATTGTTGAGCACTTTACAACATGCCAGCACCCGCAGCATGGACAGGTAAGTGGAGGAGGGACTCCCACCCAAATCTCACTAACAAATGCTCCATGCCCTAACATTATGGAGCTTAACAGGATAACCTCTCAAATATTCCCCTGAAAATTCACTGTCCTAGCCAACATGTTCTAAGAATTAGCTTTCTTGTTGTCTAGCTTGACATGGGATGAGATCTAGACCTAGTTAAGGAAATTGGTGGGATTGCCTATCTTGCAAATGACCCATCAAGTCAAAAATACTTATTGAGCTGCTACTATAAGCCAGAGGAAGTCTTGGGGAACAAGTCATCCTGAATTATCAGGACTGAGGATTAGAACAAGAGACAGTCTTAGAAAACCCACTACCATATTTTCTTGGATGTCTGTGCCATTTGGATTTCACTCAATAGACACAGAGAGGTGTGATGATCAGTGTTTGACTGCAAGGAGGAAGTTTCCAGCAACAACACATAGCATCGGTTGGAGGATGCTGGGGAGGGAGAGAAGGCAGGGAAATCAGACACCTACTGTCAAAGTTCAGGGGTCTCCTTGCCTATTTTACAAATGACGTCATTCGGGTCAAGAGCGGGGTATGATCGTGTTGGCAAGGGACATTATTCTTAAATGTTGTGACCTTGGGCTTCTAAATTTCTGGGAAGAAGAGTTAGTGTTAGTATATCTGTACAAGTCATAGGTGTTCTAGGGAAATTCTGAATTTCCAAACTTGACTGGTGTGTGAACTTGCTAATCTGAAATGCAAGCTTTCATCCAAAAAGGATGTTCCGTGTTTAATTATGGAAAGGTAATGATCCTATTAGTTTTCTAGAAAGGTACATTAGGATACAATTTATTGTGGAAAAAAGTATAAAGCACTTTGAAATCCTTTGTAGAAAATATACAGCTATTTCAGTAGCTACTTTCCTGAATAGCCATGCTGTGTTTCCAATGCATAGCGAGCAACCTCACATGTGTAATGTGAATTTAGGGAGACCAGGCTGAAAGACCATAAGGGCTGACTGCTGGAGAATCTGTGCAGATTAGGAACCACTATTAGCATTTTTTTACAGATTTGTGCAGAAGTATATGGGCAGATAGTGACTTTAACTCAGAGGCTATGATAATCAGATAGGTGAAGTGTGAGATGGAAGTGAAAAAGGCCAAGTGAAGTACCTGAAAATTACCAAGTAAGGTCATGCCAAAGGAAGCCAGACACAGCGCCACCAATCCACTAATATTCAGCCACGGATTTAAAACCTTTGGTTTCAGCTGGATGAAGCGCAGAACAGCTACCACAAGAGCTGGGAATATAACAAAATGTTAAAATTACAAAATTTAAATCATAAACCTAGACTATGAGGCACAATTCTAAAGCCACAATGTGCAAAATTAAACATCGCTACAGTACATTTTTAAATCTCTGAAATGACAATTTTTTAAAGAAATTTTCCATAGATGCCTATGATTATTTAGAGGTTTTATTATCCCTAACCTGGGGGAAGAGGAGAGGAGTTGAAGCAGCTGTGCTACATGTTATCTGGGTGATGCAAGGATGACAGAACTGTTAATAGTGTTGTTCTCAGAGTTTCCGAAAACGAGGTCAGCATAGGCAGACTGGCTTAGGAGAACACTGCAGAGGCTGGACACACAACAAATAAGACGGGGATAAAGACAGCCCATGGCAGGAGAATTCCCTGATTCAGTCATCCTTTAGTTTAGAACAGTGTCAGAACACACAGGGCAGGAAACGTGGGGAGGAAGACAAAGTTCCACGTCTCGATAAACCTGCTGGTCCCTGTGCGAGAGAGAAATCCCTCCTGGGATAGAAAGGAAGACAAAGACTGGTAGACAGAGCCCTTCATTACTGCCTTACTCCCCCTTCCCTCTGAGTCTACCTGGGGGGTGGGGGCGGGGGGGGTTCATGGTGAAAGGACAAAGACAGTTAATCCAAATTAGAACAGTTATAGTAATCAAATTATGAAATCTGGATAGCAGATTGTGCAGGTTGGTATGTACTAAAAATCATACTGGTTATAATGAGAGAGCTCAGTTCTTCCAAAGGATATTAATTACTCATTTTAAAAGACCACTCTATCTTTTGAAGCAAATTTTTCTTAAAGAATCTGAACAGAGAATGAAGGAAGTTACCTAGATTTCAAACCCAACTTCTAAGAGTAACCTTGAGGATGGTCCATACTCAAGACACTAATATAAGAATCTCCTTTTATTAATTGCTTAGTGCCGGGCTATTTTCATATTTATACAGAAAGCTGGGAGAGGTTAGTCTACACATGATTAAAAAAAAAGCACTTGTAGTTAATATAAATTATGTCTACATATAAGGAAATGCACTTACTACTTCCTAAAACAATTTATTCTGACATTAAGGTTTAGCAGGCAAGAAAATTAGAAATTCAAGAATTACCCTATTTATACAGCAATTAAATAGGTAATTATTTGCTAAATGTTCTACCTTGATTAAGGCCATTATTAGTAGCCATGAAAAAAGAAAACCTATCCATAAATTGGCATTTCCCAAGAATGCTGAATCTCATAGTTTCAAGCTATGAAGTTAAGCTCAATAAGTTGACTTTCACTTTCAAGCGCCTCTGATCAAAGAATGGGATATACCTTGGCTAATGTTTGGATTTGGGAAACAAAATGGAAATAAACCATAATATATGAAATCTCAAATTGTTCAGCTCTAATTTAGCTTTTAATATGTTTTGTTTTAGTTAATGTCCACTATTGATCATAAAATTAATAAATAATACTTGAGTTGACAATAGTTTTCCAACCTAATGGAATTATATCAGAAGTCTATTAATAATGGCAATCACTATCCTAGAGGGTGACAAAATCAGCACTATTTCTTATTACTTTTTAGGATGGGACTAGGAGGAGGAAGTGGGAGAGGAGAAGCTGAACGTAAGCACTCTGATGCACAGTGATCATCAGATAGAGAAGCTATTAGATAACACCAGAAACCTCAACACAGGGCATCATGGGAGACATCTGCTAATGAAGCGTGTATGGATATTAGTCAGGACATAATGACAAAATACCAAGACGGTACATTTCGTTTCTTTTAAAAATAACTAGTGAAAAGCGTTACCCTGGGAACTCTCTGGTGGCTGTCATTTAGTTTAGAGGAATAGGATCGTGCTGGAACTTTGGCCTAAGCCCTAAATCCCTGCTGAAGCAGACACTAAAATGGCTCCTCATGTGGGCCTAGCCAGTCCGTTTGTTCCACTGTGGCTAGAGGAAAGAGTCATTGGCCATTCTCCATGTTACTCATTTCTCTCCAGTAAACATGGGACATGTCTCATCTCCTGGCCCAAGCATTGCTGGGCTTCCCATTTGTAATATGGATGATAAATCATTTTATCATGAACAGATGACGAAATTAAGTAGGAAAAGGAAACCTACTTGAAGACAGGAACTCAACCCAACGCTCCTAACTTCCAGAATTGCGTTCCAAACACCACACTTTCTCCTTTTTACCTATTAACTCCATTATTAATCAGCTCAGACTAGGCATACTTTTCTTTTAAAATAGATTCTAGTTGAATTTTTAGGGTGGTGGAAATAATAAAGATGTTGGTGCTTTAACAGTTATATTAGCAGTTAGGTTTAAATGGAGGCCGATTGAGGCTGTCTGTTATGAAGTTCATTTTCAACGAAGTAGTGATTTAATTATACATTCTTGAACAAGACTTCTGGGCAGTAGGGCACTGTCAAAGCCATCTTTAAATATGCCAGCCAATTTTTACCACATTAACATTCTGATCAATAGTTTTTACTTTCATTAAAAATTTTGGCTTTCGCTAACAGTTTTAGAAAAGATTTTTAAAACCCACCCTTCTGTTGTTTTTCGGTATTTAGAACAGTCCTTTGCTATACAAGAGTCCCCTATTTAATTTATCTGCCTATTTTAAAAGAACACAAATACTAGAATAATTGCTTATTTTCTTTATTAAATTTTTTATTTTGAGCTGATTGGCATTTTAAATTTGAACGAGTAGCTCTTCATTGCAGTTCTAAACTGGTGCCTGGCCAAATTCTTTTTTGTTTTGTTTAGTTTTACTGTTTATGCATCGGTAATTCCTATTTATGACTGCAGCAGAACACGGCAATCAATACGTTTTGGCTGAGGGAGAGTGGCTGCTATTAGGTGACCAAAATCATTCAGCTGTTAGCCTTTCCTCACAACCTCTCCAGGGCAGAAAATAATATTCTTTTCAACAAATTTGTCTTAGGTCTTTTTTTTCCCCTGAGGAGAAATAAAAGTGTGGATTCTGAACAAAGAGCATAACTAATTCTCTAAAGAAAATAATTGAGCATTCGTGCTTTGATTGGTCCATCAGAAAGATAAAAGATCTTTGCTAACTAATTTTAATAAATGCTACACCGACTCATTTGTAGATTGTAAATTATAACCTACAGGGCTACCAAAAAAACATCTTACAGGCAGTCCAGGTTGTTTCTTAAAGTCAGGAATGTGTCTAAAGTAATAGTCTGAGGTCTAACAGCGAGAGGCCTGGGGAGACGAAAGCATCCACCGTTTAAAGCAAGAATCATTAGTAAACTGACTCTTTTTCACTCCCAGAGTTGATAAATAAATTATTTTTGGTTTATTCCCACTGAACACTAATCTTAATCCATTTTGTGTCTACCAGATGGCACTAAAATGATGAAAGATAATAAAGAATAAACACTGGATGCTGCAATATCTTAGAGCAAGAGCTAGGAAGAGCTTAATTGCTTCTTGGTGGAGCAGCGGACTGGAGAATAAGATGATGACAAATGTCATCTGGAAGAGGGGAACTTGTTTTCATTACTTTGTTTTTGGGAATGCTTTTATAATTAGTTAATCATAAGCTTTATAACTGGATAAATTTGTGAGCTGTGCAAACTGGTATTTTATAGATTCTATACTAAAGACTATTGGGAAACATCAATTTTTCTTAAAAATATGAAGGAAACAATATGTGGCCTCCAACATGTTCATTGGTTTCTTTAAAGTCCAGTGAAGGACAGCCAGTTTGTAGCAGCTTTTTTATAAGCTTTATATATTGTGATTAGATGAAGTAGTACTTGCAAAGCACTTCGCATTGTGGAATATAAATGACTGCTATTAATTACTGTTATTATTGCTCCCATGGGGATAATCATGAGTAGGTTCCAACCTGCAGGCCGACGTGGTGTGATTGCAGAGGGGCTAGGAAGGTCCCTGACCCCTCAGTTCAAGATTCACTCTTGGGGCTTTGGGCTCTGTTAAATGCAAATATCTCCCTAGCAGTCACTTATGCCTTGGTATGAGTAAGTTTATTAGATCTTTTCAGAAGAGTGGTGTCCAGAGTAGAGGAAAAAAGTGAGTATAAAGCTCCCAGCAGCTCTGAGGCTGAAGGCAGTGAAGACAAGACTTGACTAATGAGGACCGGCCGTGGTGCACTGGCTGCTGTCAGTACCACCTTTCTCAGAGCTTGGGAATATCTGGGACATGAAAATCCTGCCTGCCGAGGGCATGAAGAGAAGAGCTTCTCTAAAGATTCAGCAACCCCAGCATCAGGGTACGGCTAACCTTTTCCTTTCTGCTGGCATGGCATCCCATGCCTGCCAGACACTTCCTGCTCAGGCAAAGGGGATACGCTTTAGGAGAGCCTGTGTAGGGAAAGGTTAGCTTCAGCGAGCAGTCTTAGCACCTGCAGAGAAGCTCCCCAGTTTTCTTCTCTTTGAACCTCACAGGTTCATGGGAGGCCTCTTGAGCCTCATAGGGAACGTTCTCCATGTTTCTCCTGTTCTGAGCCTTCTGAACTAAGATTTGGCCCACGGTGCATGTTGGGCCAACCCTCTCCCTTGATTTTCCAGTGAGTTCTATAGGTCTTCCCTCTTCCTATAGCAAACATTAAAAAAGAACATGTTAAGAGTGAGTAGGAACTTTTTTGGGTCGGGAGGAGTTATACATAAATGAAATAACAAGTCCCCTCTTTGGGGGACAAGTGTCATGAAAGCCAAATACTCCCTCAGTAATAACATCATCTTTATCTTTTACTTGGAGTGAAAGTCTCACTATCAAAAGTACCATTTCCAGAAAACCACTGTTGAAAAATTTAGCTGTCACTGGACCATCCCCCACAGTTTGCCAACGATGATGGTTAGTTGACCCTTTGAAAGACACTGGGGAGGCCTGGCCTTGATGAGATGGTATACAAGGTTGATATGGAAAAGGACAGAGAGCACGGCTGGTTCCCGTGATCCCTGGAGGACCACCAAGTCACGGAAGCACTCACAGAACACAGGGGCGGGGTTTTAAATGAGGGTCTTGGGCCCTGAAGAAAAAGTGGGGATTTGGGGCCAGACATGAGTACAGAGGTTTCTTTTTCTTCTTTTTTAACCTACGTCTCCATTTGCCAGCTTCCAATGGGTACAGACACAAGCGAGAGTGTCACCTTAATGCTAATGCTGACCTTTAGATTTAAAGACAATATCTACACACATCAATATTTATCATAGAGCCTATGCATTTTTCATCTTTGCCAGCGAAGGAATAAATTAAGGCATTCTTCTTAAAGCAAACATATTGCACAATATTACATTTTCATGCAGGATTTTATGGTACGTGAAATATATTATTTCATGCAGCAAAAGAAATAAAGTCAAGAATACACTGAAACGATAAAGATGGTAAAGGGAAGAGAAAATGTAAGGTAAGCGGGGTGAACATAAAGGATTTATGAGAAAAAAGACCGTCAAAACAAAAAGCTAGCTTCAGCATATTGACATGATAGACACCAAATTATCGACTAGGCCCACCATGTTTCTGATATGGGTTTAGGAGAATTGAAAATAAAAAAGAAATGTACCAAAGGACACAGAACATTCTTTATGCACTTCTTACCTAGAAATGCTGCCATGTTCATAACTTGACTAAACACACAGCTCGCAGGAGGTTCATCGCCTGCAATACTTGAAAAATATGAAATGTTTTGTTATTACTGAATTAAAATCTATAACCCTCTGCAATGCACTGAATGTTTGTGTCCCTGCAAAATTCCTATGTTGAAATCCTAACCCTCAGTGTGATAGTATTAGGAGGTGGGGCATTTGGGAGGTGATGAGGTCATGAGGATGGAGCCCTGGTGAACGGATTAGTGCTCTTATAAAAGGGACCTCTCTTGTCCTTTTTCTGCCATGTGAGGATACAGTGGTAGTCTGCAGCCCAGAAGAGGGCTCTCATCAGACCCTGACCATGCTGGCACCCTGATCTTGGACTTCCAACCTCCAGAGCTGTAAGAAATAAATTTCTGTTCTTTATAAGCCACTCAGTCCATGCTACTTCATTAGAATAGCTGGAACTGAGACCCTCCCAACTTTTCCAAGATCTAACAGATGGGAAGAGAGTTATCAAGTTACCTTATATATGGTGCATGCTTCACACCAGGTTTCCTGGATAACAAAAAATAGAGAACTCAGGTCAAAGCACAGTCATTTGTGCACAATTTAACCTCCCCAAGGCAAAGTTTTTGTTAAGTCTACTGATGAACGATGCATTATTCAGAGATGAACTTTACCTTTCAGCTGAATTTAATGGGAAAATTTTGTCATCTTCCACAGCTATAAAGTATCTATGAAGAAAGAACAATAAAAGCTTATATGAAAAAGAAATTTTTTCAAAAAACAAGACATTTGTTTCCCAGATTTATTAGGCCAACCACATTAAATCATACTCATTTTTTTTCTAACTGGGAAAATGCTCTGTTACTACAATGCTTTACCTATAGATCACTTACTTCTTTGAAGTTCAAATGTCATTATTAATAATATTTCTGTAATTTTCGAAACCCCTCCCAAATTAATGGCCATCATTATAATCTGAAAACTGGAAAACAAAGAAATAAGACTTTATAACTTTGGGCAAACTAAAATTAGAATTCAAATTTTCTAATTTCTCAGGAATATGTGTCCACCTTTCTTAATGAACTGCAAGGGACTAAAACAACTTTCTGAAAGTGAATGGTACTTGACATAAGCAAGTGTGGGAATGTTTTGTGATAAGCCAAGACTTCCAATGTAATGATAACAATTTATAAACATACTAGACCCAGTCACACACAAAAAACCTGGACTATGAACTGTACTGTGAATGGAATACTTAGCACGTTTGTGTCAAATTAGCAAATCTTGCAAATAATGAATCCATATCACCAGTTTACAGAATGTTCAATCCTGGAAGAACATGGGAACACAAAATAAAACCAGTATTCTTCACTACCTGCTTTGCAAATTTATTACTCACTCTTGTTATTTACTTTGGGTCACAGAAGAAGGGAAGAGAAATGGGGACTTTTGCAAGGTTGATTTAGTAAACATTATTTTAAAGTATTTATAAATACATTCATATAGGTACACCATATACTATCAAAACTTTACATTTTTATCTACATTGCACTGGAGTCCTTAAATAATAAAATAAGAAAATACTCACACTATCCACAATCCAGCTGAAGTAAACAAAGTAAATACAAGAGGTAAAAACATCCATACACTGCATTTCTTCCCATCCATGCCTGTACCACTGAAATAAAATGAACAGGTATTAATAGCTAAGGCAAAAATGTACTTCACTCTTTCAAGATGGAAAGGAAGTTTACTTTAATTGAAAAAAAGTGTATTTTATGAAACTATTATTCAAATCAGTATCATTACTGCCACCTACGCATGTGGTAAATTCCTTGAGCAGTTAACATTGGATGATTCTTGTCTGCCATCTTAAATATTCCAGAGTCTTAGTTGAGAACTGATGGAAATAGTCTCATAAAGACACTTATCCTAATATAAGTATCAATGTGTTTAAGAAAGAACAGCGGCTGGTCCTGTGGCCAAGTGGTTAAGTTCGCGCGCTCCGCTTCAGCGGCCTAGGGTTTTGCTGGTTCGAATCCTGGGCGCAGACGTGGCACTGCTCATCAGGCCACGCTGAGGTGGCATCCCACATGCCACAACTAGAAGGACCCACAAGTCAAACAAAAATACACAACTATGTACCAGGGGGGGCTTTGGGGAGAAAAATAAAAAATAAAATCTTTAAAAAAAAAAAAAAAGAAAGAACAAAGGGTTTGGGTAAAGATTTTTAGGAGAAGAGCTAGGTACCAAAGGCATACTCCAACCTACTTCTAGTGTTATCATTAACATTTATGGATTTCTAGGTCTATGGATCCAACACGTACATAGGTTTACAGCCTGGCAGATGAGAGTTTTAGAAACAAATGGTTACTAAATAAATTAGCAACGCAAGAGGAAATGACAGATGCTTTCCAAATCTGAACTCTTCTCATGACATGTTATTGAGCAACTATCTCAGAACACTAAAGATGAATGCTCTAGAAAAGAATGCGTTGTGTATAACTTTAAATTAGTGCCAACAAACACAATGAAAAGAAAAAACAGATGTCAGGAATTTTGGATGTTCTATATGAAAGCAAAAATATATGAATAAAAATTTCTCCACAAAAATGAAGTGAAAAACAGAAGCTTCAGAAGTGTCTATGAAAAATTATTGGTATAGAACAGAAAGTAATAACTAATTATTACTTTACTTCTTTGCCCAAAACCATCAGACAAAATTTATTTGAGACACTGGATATCAACAATCCTTAAGGCAAAAAACACTTGTTTCAAGAAAATAAATTGCCCTAGTGACCTCCACAGGTGACCTGAGAAACAGAATGTGATTCATAGGTACCTCTAAGGAGATACCTATGCTCATTGTTTTGGGTTTTACAATGAACTGCAACAAATCATTTATGCGTTTGAACCAGCACTGCCACATCTCTGAGCACCTCCATGATTATCTGCTTTCACGTGCTGAGACTCCCTGGACCTTCCAAGTATTGAGACCAGAGAGAGAACACGGCCCTCCCTTGAGGCTGGCAACCTGCAAGGTGTCAGAAAGGCGTTAGTTCCCAGAACTGACCTACCTGATTAAGTAGACCTCTCAGGCCAGGGGACAGACACCTGGGCCTCATAATGTGTCTTTGAACAGTCATGCTGTCGTCTGAACACTTATCTGGGCAAGAGTGTTAAATAAATGACAGAGTCTAAGAGCTGAAAGACATTAAAGCCACTTTTCAATCAATTTAGTCCAATCTAATCCTATCCAATCCAGTTCACAAGTATTGACACCCTACTTGTGCCAGGTACTATACTGGGTGGTGGAAATAATTGAGGTGAGGTCTAACGAATACAACTATTTATATGTAACACTCTATAAAATACCTAAAAGCTATTGTATGAACCGGTGGTGCATGGCTACCCAGTTTATATCATGTGAAAGAATGATGAACATTTTAAGCATATACAACATGGCTAGTTAGTGTCTATTCATTTATTTATGTACAGAAAATTGTGGGCTCATAATATAGCTATCAATTATGCTAACAAAAAACAATTCCACTAGTGGCCAAGATGTAGAGGAAGTACAGAAAACAGGAATGTTGATTGAGCGTGTAAACCAATTATTCTAGATCTGCCCCTGAAATAGGGTGGTCCAACAGGATGAGTACAGCCAAAATGGTTACACTGCAATAAGACTTAGGAGACCTAGTTCTCAAGCTTAGCTTTGCCAATAATCAACTCTATGGGCCTGGGCGAGTTACTTAAATCTGTAACACCATTTCCCCATCTCGCTAAATGAAGATTGTTGAATTCTAGGAGGGAGAAGAACGTCAAAGATTGAGGCCTCACAAGGTGGTAGTACCTTGGAGGTTAAGCTAAGTCCAGTATCTTATTTTTTTGCAGGAACAGAATGCTCCAATGTACCCAGAATTATCAGCCCCAGAAGAACTGATGCTTATTAACCATTTTTACAACAGACTGGTGAATAGATCAGATTGCCACCTTATTAATGTACAGTGAGAAACACAGCTGCCACATGGACAAATACTCACATTGGCTCACCTTTTAGGAACGTCTATATGGGAAATCAAAACTCGGAAGCAGGAAAGTAGAATGAACAGAGTTAATGAGATAATTCTAAGACCATAGCATCGAGTTACAATACTTTTATATGCCAATTAACTTTAAAGAGAGGCAGTATAGTGGAATGGAAATGGTATGGCAAGGCATAGGACTGAAACCCAGCTCTGCCACTCACTAGCTGTGTGATCGCTGACAAATTATTTCATCTCTTAAGCCTTAGTTGAATTATGGAGATAACTTCTATTTTGTAGGATGATGCTGAGGATTAATGACGATGCAGGCAAAGCCCCTCACACATACCACATGTTCCATAAGTGGCAGCTCTGCCAACTATAACTGCCAAGCAGATCGATACTTGTGTTCAGACAAGGTACCCTCCCTCTAAAGCAGGGCTCAGGATGGCTCAACACTTTCTTCATCTCGTGACTCCTGCTTTTCTAGAAGGACGCAGACATCCTTCCTGATAGTAATAGTTTCTTTCTTCAGATGGCTCTCCAAAAAAATGAATGAATACCTTAACCTTATACACATATTGAAGGAGGGCCTGTCTTCCTGAGATTCTACTCATTGGTTATCTTTCCACATGCACTGCTTTTCTTATTTTGTTTTGGAAGCATCTAAGATGGCTAATGGCTACTCTCCTAAATTATTTTATTTTTACTATTTAATTTTCATAGGGCAACCTTATATCGAAACTCTGAGAAAACCATACTGTACTCATGCCTAATGATAGATGAAATTGCCCTTTCTTAACTCAAAAGGATGCGTTGGGAGGAGAAAGAATAAGTCTATAGCTAGTTGTATTCTTAGCTTCCAGTGGAACCAAGTTGGTGTTTCTTCAGGATTTTTTCATGGGTTATGCCTTTTTATTTTTTTATTTTTTGAGACAATCACAAATTCACATGCTGCTGTAAGAAATAATACAGAGAGATCCTGTATATCCTTCAGTCTGTCCCCACAGTGGTAACATCCTGTATAACCACAGGACAATATCAACAATCAAGATATTGACATTGAGATAATCCTTGACTCCATCTGATTGCACCAGCTTTACATGCACCCCTGTGTTTTTAGTTTTATGCAGTTTTATCACGTGTAGATTTGTGTGACCACCACTACAGTCAAGGTACAGGACAGACAGACCTTCCTAAAAGGGGAGCCAATGTGAGGTGAGTTCCATCACCTCCAAAATACCTTGTGTTGCCCTTTTATAACTACACTCACTTCCCTCCCCTGTATCCTCCTTTATAATCTCTGGCAACCACTAATCCTTTCTCCATTTCTACAGTTTTATCCTTTCAGGAATGTTATACAAATGGAATCATAGAGTATGTAACCTTTGGGATTGACTTTTTTTGACTCCAGGGAACATAACTCCCTGGAGATCCATCTAAGGTTTGTGTTCATCAGTAGTTTTGTACCTTTCATTGTTGGGTAGTATTCCATGGTATAGATTCACCAAGTTCGTTTATTCACCCATTACAAGATGTCTAGGTTGTTTCAAGTTTTGGACTACTGCAACTAAAGAAGCTATGAACATTAGTGTACTGGTGTTTGTGTGAACGTAAGTTTTTATATCTCTGGACTAAATGCCCAAGATTGTGATTGCTGAGTCATATGATAATTACATGTTTAGTTTTAAAGAATCCATCAAGCTGTTTTCCAGAGTAGCTGTACCATTTTACATTCCCACTAGCAATGCACAAGGGTTCCGATTTCTCCACATCCTCGCTAACACTTGTTATTTTCTGTTTTTTTGATGGTATAGCCATCCTAATGGGTGTGAAGTAGTATCTCACTGTGGGTTTAATTTGTATCTCCCTAATGATGAGTGATATTGAATATCTTTTCATGTGCTTATTGGCCATTTATATATCTTCTTTGTAGAAATGTCTATTCACGCCTTTTGCACATTTTTAAATTAGGTTGTTTGGTTTTTTTGTTGTTGAGTTGTCGGAGTTCTTTATACATTTTGGATAATCCCTTCTCGGATATGTGATTTGCAAAATTTTCTTCCATTACATGAGTTGCCTTTTCATTCCGTTAACAGTGTCCTTTGATGCACTACAATTTTGAATTTTGATGAAGCCCAATTTATCTATTTTTTTCTTTTGTTGCCTATGCTTTTGGTGTTCTATCCAAGAAATCACTGTCAAATCCAATATCATGAATCCTTCCCCCTATGTTTTACTCTGTTTTATAGTTTTAGCTCTTTTCCTTTAGGTCTTTGATCCACTTGAGTTAATTTTTGTATATGGTGCAGGTAACTTCACTTGTTTGCATGGGTCTTTTGCAGAGCAAAAGTTTAATTTTGATAAGATCCAACTTACCAAGTTTTTCTCTTATGGATCATGCTTTTGATTTCAAACCTAAGAACTCTTTGCCTAGCCTTTTATCTCAAAGATTTTCTCCTGTATTTTTTCTACAAGATTTATAGTTTTACATTTAAATCTGTGATCTGGTTATGTATTTTTAAACTATAGGTCTCTCTTGTCTTACTGAATTGGGTGAGACCCTAGACAGTTTATAAATCACTTTGACAAGGATCAGGAAATATGTGATGATCTAAGTCAGTTCTCTGAAGTAGTAAAGGGAGATTCT